TTCATAATTAAAACAATTCGAAGTTATCAATATTATATAGGGGAAAGAAAAAAAAAAGAAAAAAAAAAGAAAAAAAAAGTAAAATTTCCAATAGATTTGTCCAAACTATAAATTTATAAGATTAAGAAAACGCGTTGGTTTTATCGTATTTCTTACGACAAACATTATTTCGATATCTTTTCTTTACGAGATAAAACAAGAGACGTTAAATATCATTGATAAGAAATACGCGCGAGAACTATATATCTAATGTTATTATATGTTACCGTGGAAGCCGGAAATCAGTCATTGCTAGTAATTCCTCGGCATTACTATAAATGTAAAGAGCCTTCACACGAAGTCGGAAATTGAAAAATTCTTACAGTTTTTCCTAGGTATCGAACATAATACTTTGATATTCTATAGAATATGAAATTACTATTTAAACAACGTTGAAAAGAATACATTTTTAGGCACAGACACACACAGCCCTCCGATCAAGAAATATCAGAGATTGCAATGCTGTAAATTGTACAACTTTGCTATTTTTTTTTAAAATTTTGGTAAATATTTTTGATACTAAAAGTGAATAGATTTTAATGAAACTTATATTAAATTAAAGTACAATCTTTTGTCTACACTGAGAATACCATATCGAGTTATAAATTTAGGATGTAAACTTCAAAACATGTCAGCGAATGCAATGCTGTAAATAGTGTATCTTTGCAATTTTTTTGAATTACTAGCAATGACTGATATTCGGCTCTTCGACGGTAACATATATATTTTTTCTTTTTATTCATTATCTTTGCTATATCATCATTTTTATTATCATTTGACGAATTATTTTGAAAATGGTATAGGAAGAGTATTATTTAGTGGGTGGTAGGATTTTAGGGTAGGACATGATTTCTCCCAATAAATTGGAAAGTGGGAGAAAATCATGGCTCGCGTGGGCAGGGTCGCATACCTGAAGTAAATTCTGTTTCTGTTGTAATCAAAAACAGAATCTACCCGCTACCCACATTACAATATGAATTTATTAAATTTAGGAATAAATTTTGAATATTATCTATCATAATATATGTATTATTACATTTTTTAGGAACTTGTCGAGAAGTTTTACAAGAATCCCAAAAAGATTTTCAACATACCAGATCAACCAAATACCTACATTGAAGTTGATCTCGACGAAGAATGGGTGATACCGGAAGCAATGCCATTTAGCAAAGCTCAATGGACACCTTTCGCTGGTATGAAAGTTCGTGGATCTGTTCACAGAGTTGTCCTTAGAGGTGAAGTAGCTTACGTSGAAGGACAAGTTCTGGTTAATCCAGGTTTTGGTCAAGATATCAGAGAAATGCAGAGAAAGATAAAACATCAGTCTGTTGTTCATGCACCAACGATCGATGTGTGCGTTAGTAGACCTGGTTCAGGTCTGGATAATCTTTTATCACCTAATACTCTCGATCGTAGTGGTGAACTTGAAGAAGAACAATTGGAAGAACGATTTAATCATTTGTTGCAACCGAGCAGCCACAAATCCAACGTTCATTTCGCATTGGACGTCGACCATCCAAAATTACTCGGAGTTCAACGAACAATTTCACCCTTGTCCTTTAGTAGTTCAATACGTCACAAGAGCGATAGTAGTACAAACCTGCATCTACAATCGACACCGTCGAGTCATGTAACTTGCAATCTGACCGGTCATCATATTCTTTCGGCAGATATCTTTAATAAAGAAGAACTGAAAGAGGTGTTTAATCTTGCCGAAACATTTCGCAATGCAATTCGCAAGGAACGAACTTTGGATCACATCTTAAGAGTATGTGGATTTTATATTAACAAAATCAATATCCAAAAATAATATCACGTAAATAATAATAGTTATCGCAGGTCTTTAATCGTTCTAGTGTCATTTTTTTGTTTGTTTCTTTTTAGGGTAAAGTTATGGCATCTATTTTTTACGAAGCCAGCACCAGAACATCGTGCAGTTTCGCAGCTGCTATGGAACGACTTGGTGGAAGGGTCATTTACATGGATGGATCTACGTCATCGGTTAAAAAAGGAGAAACATTGGAAGGTTTGCAGCCATACACGAGAATTTTTTCTTATTTTTTTCTTTTTTTTATAACAATATACACGCTAACCAATTTTTATTGTCACAGATTCTGTTGCTGTAATGGCTGGTTATGCGGATGTTGTTGTAGTTAGACACCCTGAACCTGGTGGTGTTCCAGTAAGTACGCATATTTGAAATATTGCATAAATATATACTGTATATTAATTTTTCTTTTTTTATAGAGAGCATCTCAGCACTGTAGAAAACCCTTAATAAATGCCGGCGATGGTGTTGGTGAACACCCCACTCAGGCCTTATTGGATATCTTCACGATTCGTGATGAAATCGGAACTGTTAATGGTTTAACGATCACTATGGTCGGGGATTTAAAGCACGGGAGGACTGTTCATTCTCTTGCCAGGTTGGTACAATCAAATTTCAAATCTAATTTTATAAATTTATGATACAAGAGTAAAAAAAAACCATTCTAATTATTTCTTAGTTAATTTGATTAACATTTGATCGTACTTCGATTCCAGGTTACTGACCTTGTACAACGTTGAACTTCGATATGTTTCTCCACCCGGGCTGGAAATGCCTGAACACGTGATGGATTATGTGTCAAAGCGTGGCGTATCTCAGGAAATGTTTAAAAGTCTCGAGGCAGCATTACCAGATACGGATGTATTGTATATGACACGTATTCAACGTGAACGTTTCACTACGCAAGAGGAATATAGACAGGTATGAAAAATAAAAAAAATAAAGAAGAAATAAAATTACACATACTTTGACTAGGGTGACATTAATTCGCAAGTAAAATATTCAAGATGGCAATGAACCTAATAGTAAAACATTTAATCGCTATAAACACGTTCACCGTATCTTCGATGATTGACGTGCATGCAATACTTAACATCTACTAGTTGAGTTAAACTAGTCAGATATATATTCGAACACGAATAACTAAACTTGTTAATCATTGAATATATAACAAACTACGTATTGGAGATTAAATGTTAATAATTAATTTTTTGGTTGTTTTCTGCAATTATACAATTTCGTTTAGTTTTCATTTAAATACTAACGCATAAGTGTTACTTTTGAAATGATATGATTAAATATCTAATAATTATGCAAGATAATAATACATGGAATTGTAAGCTCTGATTACTTGTAACTATCTAATATTCTAAATATTATACGTTTTAATAATTAATCGAATGAACAGAAAATAAAAGGAAAGAAAGAAAATCGTAAAAATAAAATGGGAATAAATAATGAGTTGAATTATTTTTGTGTTGACAGGTTTGCGGTCATTTCATAGTGACGCCGCAATTAATGTCACGCGCAAAGAAGAAAATGGTGGTAATGCATCCCCTTCCACGTGTTTTTGAAATTAGTACAGAATTTGACATGGATCCTCGAGCTGCTTATTTTAGACAAGCAGAGAACGGCGTTTATGTTCGCATGGCTCTCCTTGCTATAATTCTCGGCCGTGTCTGATTCATCGAAGGTAACTGTCCTTCTTAATAAAAAAAACAACCGGACACTCATTTGTGAGTCAAGGTGAGTCAAACTACGACAAATAATAAAAAAGAAATAAAATAAAGAAACATTCTGACGAGGACATAGGACACTACCTATCCGAAATTTTAATTAGGCTGTGATAAAAAAAAAAAAAATAATAACCGTGAAATTGCAAAATACAAATCGTGCACAGTATTTTTGTTGTTTTTTATCTTTGGACGCATTTATACACAAATATTATTATAAATAATATAAATAATCAAATATTTTTGTACAATCTAAATATTTAGAACAGATAATGTAAGACAAAATAATTATTCGATAATCATGATATTTTATCACACTTTCTCGAGATGAATGGAAACATTTTTGTGTATAATAATCATTCCAATTAAAGTTCGATCGAATTTCGATGTAACGCGATATTTGTATAAATAGAAAAACACGTGTATATATAGAATATATACAATGAAAAGGTAACTGACATTTTTGTATGAATTAATTTTTTTTATTATTATAAAAGAACTCCAATATTGAAACTATCCATAAAAAATGATTCTTTCTTTGAAATACCTATTTATACTTATTATCCTTTTTTTTTATTATATACTCCAAGTGATAAGTAATTGTGATACTGCCAGTCACATCATGCTTCAAGAATGTTTTTTATTAACTTCCTGATATCTCAATTGCGTCAGACATACTTCAACAATTTTCTTCGACGTTACGTACAAAAATTATAATTTTACGAACCAAGGACAAAGAACATTAATCCGATATAACGTTATCTTGGATTGTTACTATAGTTGTTTCATGATTTTCTTCCTACATTTGTTCATTCACATTTATTAGAATTGATACGTCATTCTATACTTGAACGAGTATCCTAACATTTTTCTTCTTCAATCACTTATTTCAATTATTTGTTATAAATTAAGATATGTGGAAATAGTATTCATTTGAAATAAAATATAAAATTTTACTAATAAATTTTCTTTATCATTGTTTTTTTTAGTAATAGTAATAATACTTATATACACACTGTTCTCATTTATAAATATATATATACAGGATATGTCAAAATTTAATATACAAACTATGAGAAGGTATTGTACGAAATAGAATGGATCCTACATTTCGTACCATTGAGAAATAAAATAATACATCAAAATAAAATATATTTAATATACATTCACATTATTTCTTTTTTATCCGAAAAGTTTGTGCCGATTTATATTAAAAATATACGATTCGATATTAATTAATATATATAATGAATCAATAATAACTACATCTCTCTCTTATACTTTGAAAAATCATTATAAATAACTTTGGATTTAAATTTAAGTATACAAAGTATATGATTTTAAAGTTGCAAGAAATTATAAATAATTATGGATCAAATTTAAACGTACACATATTATTCAAATAATTAAAGATCTTATTGACATAACTATAATAATAATAATCATCATTAATTATAATAATCACAATGCATATTTTCTTAAAATTCTAAAAACAATTATAAATACAGTCACGCATTCTCGTAAAATCTATCATACGTGATTCGTAAATTCAAATATTTAATATTCGATCAATAAACATGCACATCAGATAAATTCATCTCTCTCACACATACATGTCTTTTTTTCTAATTCGAATAAAACAAGGTCAAGACGAAACCTTCTTTTTTTTTCTTTTTCTATTTTACTTCGTTTGCAGTCACTATATGCAAAATGAAACGAGTAAATGCAATGCCAAGACCTCGTTCTTATGCAGTCATTATGGTCATTTGTCAAATGATCGCGAGAAGAGAAAATTTGTATTTAATTAAAAAGAAAAAAAAAGTCGGAATTTTTCTTTAAATAAATATATATTCTCTTTTTATGTTTTTTCATTGACCTCATCGTTAAAACAATCATTTGTTAGGTAATTCGATACTCGTAACAACGTATCGAAAAATCGATCGATCGATTGTTCATTCATTTTCAACAAATCAACAGTACCTGTTCTTTCGTGCTTTTCAATGGGAAAAAAGAATAAAAAAAAACAAAACAAATAAAAAAAAAAAAGCACTAATAAAGAAGAGATTACGTCAGATAAGGTTGCATAAATCACAGCGGTAATTCACTATGTCGTTCGACTTCGTAAAAAATCGGTATAAAATATCCTATGAAAATACTTCGCGAAGAATATTTGTTAAGTTCGTTGAAGAAACCCGTTTATTATTATTATTATTATTATTATTATTATATTAAAACAGAATTATTTTTTTTTAACGTTTCATTGCAAACGAGCATATCGTCCTTCTATTCTTCTTCTTTTTTAATTAATAATTCGCTCATTTGATCGTTCGTATCAGCATAATAATACCTTATTGTTTAAATAAAAAATAATTAGCCATTAAAAATGAAACTGGTTCAGAGTTGTTGCATACTCTCGAGTCGGTTCTCGTTTTCCTTTTTTTTTTTATATATATATATAATATGTATCGATTGTTTCGAACGAGATTCTTACACTTTAATTAATCAACAAATGAAAAGTATACTTCCTTCAATCAATCGAAGAGAATTAAACTATGGCATCTCTCGTTGGAAATGCTGAATCAGTTATATCGTTTGGACACATATCCGAAGCAAATGATTTAACATCGTCTGGTTGTGTCCTTCGTACACGCGAAATTTGAGGTATTTTCAGTCTTAATTTTCTCTTCTTAGGGGTTTCCTTTTTTCTGTAATAACCGTATAGTTTATTAAAATATAAAATATCATTTATAATTAAAAAAAGAAGATCGTAGATATACAATAAGTAAGTTGAACGATTACTTACTGATGTTTGCAATCGATAAAAATTCCCATTGAAAATAAAATAACTATAATGACGATTACGCCAATTACTACGACGACCAAAGTTACGATTGCATCTTCTTCTTCCAACGTGAGAGATGTTTCCGTGGTCGACCAAGGAATATCTAAAAAAATTTGTGTGTCCAATCATTTGTATTAGTATTTGGATAATACCATACTGTTCGAGAAATTATTTTTTCATTTTAATTTATTTCTAGTAATATTATTGAATTTATTGTTTTGTAGTATAATAAAGTATTAGTTATAATATAATTAGCATCTATTTTGTATGTATTATTATAAACGCATTTAATTAACAAAATAATAATTAATTTCATTTCAATTTATCCAATTGCGCTTATTGCAATTCTATATTTTGCAAGATTGTTTAATTTAATCGCGACGAAATGAATTATTACCTCATATAAAGTATGTCCAAACTACTTTTTTTTTAATTATATTTGTCTATTATTATAAAATCACATATTATATAATAATTTTCTAATATATCCTTCCCCCCTGCATTCGATTAATATTATATTGAAATACGAATAAAATCGTAATATAAGAAGGTACTTTCGAACGGCGAGATAGAAAGTGCATTAAAACTGCATTCGATTATACAATAATTCTCCGTTGACAGTATAAACAAGAAAAAAATATCATCCGAAATAAAGAAATACAAAAATAGCTTTCTAATGGTGCGTGAACGTAATCCTTTTTCTAAAATCAAATTACCAAACACGGAACAATCGTATATACATCGGCTTGACATTTAATTAAACAGGTAAAACGTGTAATTAATGCATTACGTCGTACGAACAAGATACAATTTGGAACTTCATTCGTCGTATACATATAATTAATCTCTATTACGTGATCAAAGATAAGATCAGTTTTCAAACGAAACGATGTGTGTTGAAGTCAAACACGAAGATAAGATTATTTTTTTCAAAATATGTCATATTGTAGTAACTAAAAAAAAAAAAGGAAAAAAAACTTCAAAACAAATTTATTTTTGAATAATTTAATCCAAATGTTAATCGTTTTTCCTTGCACGTACGTGACAAGAGACATCCTGGAAACAAATTGTTTTCAGGATAGGCATTCTAATGCTCGTGCATGATGCGAAACCCCACGTTGCATTATTTTAATTAATGAAAAACAACTCTACGTGTGCACGTGTAAAAGAAAGAAAGAGAGAGGTAAGTAACCTGGAACGTTAATAATAAAAATGCATACGAAGGAATTGGTCTTGTCATACCGATTGACGTCACTCGTTAACGTCATAGACCCTTTTTAAGGTAAACAAACGCATCGAAATTTGAACTTTCAAATGACTCGTTGTGCCGAACTGCACGTAGCCCATCACCGAGATGACGTATAAAAATTAATAGAAATACATATGCTGATTATTGTCAAAATAATCTATAAATTAACCCTTTGTGTGTGTGTGTGTGTGTGTGTGTGTGTGTAGTTAAAATATTTATACAATGTTATAATGAACAAAATTATGAACCATGTTATAATATACTCCAAATACTTGTTAAAAATGAATTTTTCAATTTAGTAAAAGAACTATTTAATGACACCCTTAGTATTTGAATAATACATGTGTTGTAAATGACAATCGATCTTATTTCAAGAATTTTATCTTTTTTAATCTATTAGCATAAAAAACAACAGACGAACGTAATTCTAGGAGCGTTAACGATCGAACATTTTTCTTTTTATTTTCTCTTTCACATTGTACAACCATACACCTGCGATTACGTTACTCGCGAGAGTTTGCTATACCCGTGGTCTTCTCTCTCTCTCTCTCTCTCTCTCTCTCTCTTTTTCTCTGTACGTCTTCGCGTGTATATGTATACATGTATGCACACGTAAAGTAGTTAAATACGTAGACGTACTATCACACGTATGCAAGGAAAAGGAAAACGAGCTTATAGAAACGATACCAGTCGGTACCTGCTGGTGTGAAAGTTATTCCTGACGGCTAAGGCCGTTCTGCATTTTTCGAATAACGAGACAGCAAGTTATCTGTTCACATATAACCATGTAACACATACCATTATCAATAAAACGTTTCTACAATAATTCTATCGAACGAACGACTCGAACTTTCAAGGATCCTAAACTTTAAACGCATTCAACACTGTGGATGAATGGATTTATTAAATGATAATAATATACTTCCTATCTTCTTGTTTCATCCAATTCTTTTTATTAATTCTCGCGCGTTTCATTTTATCATTAATTAAACATTATATTTAACGCGATAAACTTAACGTTTTAATCCTTGATGAAGTGAGCATAATAAAGTTGTATGTTAGTAATTCAATATTAATTTGTATTACCGAATGTGCGAAGATTTTCATTCGCAGTGGGATTTGATTATAATAATCGCTGATAACGATGATTCCAGAACACCTTTTATGAAATTAGTATTAAATGATATGTCTATTATAATCAAGACTTGATTATACCGCCTATAAATTGTGATAATATTAATGCTTTTTTCAAAATTCTTTTTCTTTCTAATCGAAGCAAATGCAAATCTTTGTTATCTTTGTTTTTTTACACGAACGAATAATTAGAATTCGTAGAAAATATATATATATATAAAAAAAAAAGTCTTGACTCGTAGTGTACAGTTAACACACTTTATAAATTTTCCAGATAAATTTTGTTTCCTTTTTTTCCTTCTTAATAACAGTTTGTCGTTCGTTAAAAAAAAAAGAAAAAAAAAAGTTACCGCAAATATTTCAATGTAAAGTTTATTATATAAATCGTAAATATATATATATATATATTATAAACTTTTACGTAACAATCTATAAACTCCCGTTCAGTATAATAAACATTTTTTATTAATATGATTAATGTTATCGAATGATTATTTTTATCAAAAATTCCAGGTCCCAAAGTGAGATCAACGTGCAATGTTAAATAACATTTTGCACACAAGTATATATATAGTTTCGATCTATTTCGTTAAATATTAAGAACAAATTTGGACAAAATTTTTAGGACGATTTTAAGGAGAAGAAATAAAATGATCGAAAAATATTGTAAATAGGGGAAAGAAAATAATTTATGACTCCATCTCAGTCAGTGTCCTAAAGTTTACGAGCACCGAAAAAAGCCTATTCCCTAGAGAAATATTCCCCCTCATTACCGATAGTTCGAAATAATCGCAATTCGACACGACAGGCGTTTCCCGTTCACGTTTATCAACAAACGTTACTGGAATTTCGTATTCGAAGATAAATGAGATAGCTTACTTTTATTCCTTTTTGTGTAATATATATAAATTTTCTTTTTTAACATTCATTAAATTATTATAATCATACCACAATTTTTTCTCATAAAAAATTATCAATATAAATTATGTTAACGTGATAACAGTAACGTGTGCTGTAACTTTCTAGAAAAATTACTTTCATATATATATATATATATAATGTTTGAATATAAACATATGTATGCAACTAATAGAATGACAGATCACTTATTTAACCAGTTAAATGTGTTTGACGACTATATCCGTCATGGAAGAATGGCAGAATTTTGTGTTTTGACGGCTATATCCGTCATGCGTAAAATTTTCATACAATTTGATATTTAAATTATAATTCTGGCGAAAACTAAATTATATTCGTAAATTTTATTATGTTTAGAATGTTTAGTGGTCAGGACGAAATGAAATAAACAAATGAAAATTATAGATAATTTGAGTTGAACACTAGATCTTTGATTATCCAGATTTTAATCTTGACGTGACATAACCAAAAAAACAAAGTATATTAGATTCTCCATTTGCGATGATGTCCTGGATGTCTAATCAAAGAAAAAAAAAAAATTTGTTTGTTTGTTTGTTTGTTAAATATTTGATTTTTTGTTTAAGTTTTTCGTTAATTATGTGTAAATATAGCTTTACGTTGATCCATTGTTTAAATATTACTTATAAATTCATTCATTTTGTAAAATAAATTTTTGACCGAATATTTCAACAGCGTCACTTACTCTGTGTTTGACGACTATATTCGTCATCGCTTGATTATCGCGACACACACTGGGGCGCACTTTGCAAAATGATCGACACAGTTAACTGGTTAAAATTTATTGGATAGTTCATGCGGAGTAGAATGGATCATTCTAATTTACATTCATAATAGATAAATGAAATTTATTATGGTACTAAAATAAAAAGAGAGGCAAGTTTCTTTTCCATACTTATTGAAATTTTAATCAACCACTCTATCTTGAAAAGTTTGTCGTTCCAAATGAAACATAAAATTTTGGTTGTAAATGATTAACTAATTTTACGCACACGTATTTGTTACTTTTTTTTATTATTATTATTATTATTCCCGGCACGATTATTGTCGGAATATTAAAATATCGACGTTTATACAAATGTGTTATCATAAATTTTTCGTACTTTGAATATACTTTATACGAAAAATGTTGAAAAATTATTCATGCAGGAAGTAAGAAATTATGGTACCTGTTGATTCTTTTCATACAATTTTTTTGACAAAAATCACATGAAAACGGGACTTAACTATATATCTCTTTGAATACATGCCGATGAAGGACGACGACGAAACGAGTTTACTATGAAAAAAAATCGCACGTTCCAGTTTCTTCTCAAAGTGGCAATGAAGTACCATTCGATATTCGCGAAAAATATTCATCCAATTGAACCGTTTCGTAAGACTGCGTTATTTTAGCCGATTTTCTACTACGACAATTTTATCGACGACGACGTTCGTGCTTTCACCGACATAAGAAAATACTTTTACCTCGTCAATGATTTGCTTTGGCAAGCACGTTCGAAATCTTCAACATAATGAAACCCATCGTAAAGACGAAACGCATTCTCAAAGATTTAACATAATACTTTTGTTTACAATAAACGCTTTATTAACTTTGCTTTCGAATATCTTTCATTTACTATCCTTTCTAAATTAAATATATTGTTTTATTATTATTATTAGCAGACGATAGAAGGAATGTGTTAATTTTCGAAAAAATATTCAGCCTAAGGGAAATATTAAAAAAAAAACAAAAAAAAAAAAGAAAACAAAATGCACGAGAAATCTATTTATTATTTTAATCATTTAATTTATTACTTCTCTTCTCTATACCTACAAAAAAAAATATTTATTAAAAAAATTCAAATAAAAAGATAATATTCTTTTCGAAGGAAAAAAACAATCGATCGTTCGATCACATGACACACAACATCCGCATACCAATTACTAATAAAATTCCAATAATTTTCCTCCTTCTATATATTCAATTTTCCATAAATCAAACAAATGAAATCTGAAAAATGAAATTGAAATATTTTACCTTTGGTGGAAGTTGACAATTCACCTGCAACGACGCTTCGCATTTGCGTTCCCATTTCTATTTTATTTTATTTTAATTTCTTTTCTTTTCTTGTTCTTTTTTAAAAAAATATACAAATACAAATACAAATCCGTGTCAAAGGAAGAGAACCTACTATTCACTTTATTTTAATAGAATGGTATGGTATACTTGTGTAATGGGGGACAAAAATTAAAAAAAAAGAAAATGTTCAATTAAAATCGTTAATCCTGTTGGTTAAGGAAAATCCGTCAAAGTTTTCTGGGCCAAAATGTGACACGTATAACTGAAATGTTTGAAACCTTTGAAACGTATTCGTCGTCGCGACCCGTTCGAGGTCCTGAGGTAAACTGACGAGCACATGCCTCGGACTGGCATACGATATGCTTCACGTTGAAACTCGCTTTGGAGAAAAGAAGGATAGAGATTGCGAGATTGGTAGAGAGGGAAATACTGAAAGAGAAAAGAAGACAGAGAGAGAGAGAGAGAGAGAGAGAAAGAAAAAGAGAGAGAGAGAGAGAGAGAGAGAGAGATAATAGGATTTAGGAGTGGGAGGGAAAGATACGAAAAGTATGAAACAAAAATGTGTATGTGTGTGTGTGAAAAAGAGAGAAAGAGAGAAAAGAGGAAAGGAAAAACCTCACGTGAGGTGGTCTGCGAGGATCGACGTGTAAAACTTCCATTCAACATCCAGGACACAAGTATAACTACAGGTAAGCATTGAAATAACCTGCCAGTATACGTTTCGTACAGTCCTCGTCGAAAATAGTTCAACGAAAGTTGGATTTTGTTATTGTTAACAATATTCATTTGAGATTGCTAATATTAAAATGAAAAAAGTAGTATCTATTGTAATTATATTCATTTTTTTAAAAATCAAATATTGATTTTTCGTTTGAATTATATTCTTTTCGGAGATGCCTACGCAACCCTTTAATTATATATAATACTGACCATTAAGGTATTTACAAATTATTTGTAATTATAAACTAAATTATTTTTGTATCCATTAAAACATTTATTTTACTGTTCAGATAAACAGAAACGACGTATTTATTATCGTATTTACGTATCCGGAAGTATATATGTTTGTTTTTTTATTCGTTTTAAAAACAATACAGATTGGCTAATAAGTTAATTTTAAAAAAAGTACATAATTATTATAACAGGTTTTATAATTTACAAACGTTAAGCTAGAAATATAATATTTAAATTAGAATGACCAATCAATCGTACAATTTGTCACACTAATCGTGATTATAAGAATATTTTAACTTTTAATTTTTCTGCATCTATTTTTAAACCATCCCGTATCATTATTGTGGTTAAGGTGGTGCACAATTTGGTCAGTGCGACTTCCTTTGATAATTTTATATTATTTTAATATTTCTCAATAACACATTAAACGACGATATAATATAATAGACTATTTAATTAAATTGATTTAAAAAAACAAATGTCTCAATTCTTGTATTACTTTAAATAACACATTCGACAAAAGGTGCACAGTATTATTGCAAATGCAATTAGAGAAAAAAACAAGAAAAAAAAATCTAATTGTGCAAGTAGCTTTTAAAGAAATTATTTCCACATTGTGTCGTTCCGCATTATGAATTTATCTTATCGGAATAAGAAACGTTATACCGAAAAGGTGTATTCTACGTAGATAGAAACGTCGTGATAATTAATTACTCGCTTATCGTTAATTGCGATGATGCATCGAACTCAAGAAAAAGTCAAATGAGATCACTCGGAGAACTTGACCGTCTACCGTTTCAATCCTTTTGTTTTTTTTTTCAACAATTGACCCTTTCCCATATTATTTTTTCGTTCTCGTTCTCGTTTTCGTTCTCGTTTTCTCTCACGTCTGCACAAAATTTCAATTTGACCATTTTGGCGTTCACCTTGTGCAACGAATAAGCAAGGAAAACGTCTAAATGGGCAACTAAACAGAGATGCAACGTGTTCACGCATGCCTTCTATCGCACTTCGAGACGACGACGACGAGGCAAGCACTTAAACAATTTATTTCACTTTCAATAGCTCTGAAATAAACTGTTCGTACCACTTTACGATCAATTTCCTGCGACAACGAAACCGGTATTCTTCAACGCGACAGACGATGACACGAAAATTCGTTCGAATTGTGAAATTTTGCATGAATGATTGTCATAATCGCCAAACAGGTCAAATACCTCTTCCACGTGTTGCTTTTATATACGAAATATTTGTTATGAAAGAGATTTTTACGTAAACACCTGAACACCTGTTTTCGTATTATTTGTTAAGAAATTTACCAATCGATAAAATTTTATAAATGCAACATTAATATACGCGATAATATTATAATATTCAATTGAAACCTATTATTTTGGAATATTTAAACCTATCTTCCCGTTTTATAATAAACGTAAGTCAAATAAGTATCAAATCCGTGCAATACACCGACAACTCCGCTCATAATCTGCAAATAAAATAGACAGATTGTATATACTTTCTAGATAGATATATTTAAATAAAAAGGAATGAGGTATTCTAATAAACTCACGTAAGCTGCTGTCATAGCTGGGTAAACATCAAATCCTGGTTTTAAATAATATTCCGGTAAGAGAAATAATTTGGTAGAAAAAGCGAGATAAGAGGCCGAACTCAGATACAAAAAACTTGCCAACGCGTTGAACATTATTTCCTGTAAGACAAACGAAAAAAGAAAATGACAATTTTTCTTAATGTAAAATACACGTGAATTCTAGTGGTTCGAAAGATAGACGAGTCAGACGTTTAATAAGATTCGAATCGAAATTCCGAACTCGAACTCGAACTGTCTGCGTGGTATTTTATTTTTAGCCAAGGAATAAGTATAAAAGTATTTGCATTCCTGTTATTCTGTTATTTGAAAACAATTTGGATATTTTGTTGTTTGCGCAGAGAAAACAAAAAAAAGGATGAAACATTAACATAAATGTTATTCCTACGCGATTAGATGTTATTGATGGAATTTAAATGTATCATACGTACGAAAAGTGAGGAACGTATAAGTCTGTAAGATTTTTCAGACAATATGTAGCAGACTAATAATACAGTGGATGTTAAAAAGCAGGCCGAGGAAGTTGTCAAAGATCCCTCAAAAGCAGACCCAATAGACGTGCTATACCTTAAACCATAATTGACTAGCAAACTCTGGATCAATCCGCTAATTATCTGCAAATAATAAAAAAGAAAAACACGCGACAAATGAATAAAGTTCAATTCATTGAATAATATTATACATTTCGTCAAATCGTTTATATTATTTTCAACCTAAAATTTGTGATAAAAAACATTTTGCAAATATATTTATACTTTGAATGTACGACCACAGTGTACGTGATAGAGTTAACAAAAATTATCTTCATTATTTTTAAACGATTTCCTTAACAATTCTTGAAACTTACATAATAACTCGTTTATACTATTTCATATGATTTTACTGGCAATAAGTAAATGCGTAAAAGGAAACAAAAATGATATTTCTCTTTATTTTCCTTTAATTAACCGTACAAACGTCGATAAGAATCTAAATTTATCCTCTCGTCGTTAATTCGAAATCGGATAAAGTTACTTAAGGTAACTCACCGTTTCGCAGACTTTCATAATTCCCGGCAAAGTTTTGAGAAACTCAACGTGTATGCAGGTGCAACATCTGCAGCAGCAACATTCGATACCTCCGGCTCTGTGAGTTCCGGAAGATGACATCCTGATTATCGGTCCTGTAGAGTTTTTCCCCATGATCCCTTATTTTAACTTGAACCACCAAAAAATAACGTATCGAATAAAAACTTCTTCCTCTCTGTTCCTTTTTCGATCGATCGATCGATCAATCAAACAATCAATCAATCAATCGATAAAATCAATTATTTTTAATATTCTTTTAACGAAGAATAACTGCAACGATTTAATTGTTCCTCGGCGATTTAATTGATCGATTTATTTACGTGTTGCTTGGCAGACATTGAAGTCGTTTAAAATTGCTTGCAGTTGATTCGATAACCCTCGTGAATTTGATTGTCCTCTAATTGGTTAAATAGCGATTAATTCACGTCATCAAAGGGGATATTATAAGTGTAGTTCATTGATCCTTTCGTTTCAAGTTACTGTTGCGATATATATATATATCTTTCGAATTTCACAACTTTCATTTGTATCAAATAGAATCGCGATTGTTCTACAATTTGTAAACTTGAAATATATAATGTGACGAGTTCGAGGATAATAAGTTTGGCTGCGAAATGAGACTAGAACCGTGACAACGAGATACTTTGGACGAACTGAGGATGTTTCACGAGTTCGTTCACAATGTTAAAATGTCGTTGCACCCCCAACGTCGTATTTAACACGGGAAACCGTCGTCTATTTCTGGCACGTGCCACGAGCCCAGGATGTGGAACCAACTGACTATGCATACGTCAAAAAAGGAAACATTAAAAAAATTTATCAGAAAAAATATCGATCAGCTTAGACAACAAATTGTTCTATTTATTCAGATAGATTTTGTTGCGGGTTCTTTTTTATAATTTTTGCTTTTTTTTTGTTTTTTAATTTTAGGATAAGTGGACGATACATATATATGTATTCTAATGAATGGTATCTATGATCGCTATGATAATATCTAACATATATGATTATAACCGACAAAGTAAGTACGTGCAAATATGGCTCGAGATTTACGATGCATGTGCATACACAATGCATTTGAGAAACACCGTATGCATTCCCGTGGTAATATCCTGTTCTCTCTTTCTATAACTTTATTAAAACTACTCTCACATAGAAGGTACGTGCAAATGTACATTCTGCTAATGGTCTAACTTAAAAGAAGTTTAATCTTCGTGAGAGAAATAAATACTGGCTACTATATGGAGCTCTGTTGTTTTATCTTTTTACTTTATTTCATTACATTTAATACTTTGGGTAATTCAATTTTATATACATCTAAGGGTCTTATTAATATTTCGAAATATGTTGATCAATATAATATGCTAATATTTTGTTCTTATTTATATTAATAAGTTTTAGTTATAATCGTTATAGTATAGAATTTTAGAAATTAATTACACATTCACTTTGTGTATACTACTTGCTATTAAAAGTTACTAGGAGATAAGCAAGTTTAAAAAATATTGAAATTCTAGTAACATTGTTAAGCATCATATCGGTAAGAGTAGTGCTCTACCTTGACAGTCGGTAATACGACGTTACCAATCGAAAAGCTCTGACGATAAGATAAAGGATTTTGATTGAACAAATAGAGTATGCAGTTAAGAGCACCTATTCGTTTTTTTCTGCTGTTAAGGTTCCTTGCCAGCGTTCCTACGATATATTCCAGCTTATACTGATAGAATAGATAGAAGCACTATTCCCTTTTTGCATTTGTAGTTTATATTTTATCCACGTTTGTTGCTTGTATACTGTAAGATTTAAACTATTACGAATATTTTAAACAATCTCTCTCTTATAAAATAATTATCTAAAAAAAAAAATGATATTTCCTCTCCAACTCAAAAAATTTTTAATCTTGTAAAATATTTATGCATACACTATAAATAAGTAAATTTTGAGACATAACACCAGATAGCGTTATTCGATCATTATTCTACTGAATTCCTGTAAAATACAATTATCTGGTATGACGTCATTCATTCTGGATATTATCTAAAAGGAACTTATAGTCGTATTAATATATACTATTCGTTATATCCAATTATTTCTTTTTAAAAGTACAATTGGTGATTTTTGTAACAGTGTCAAACATGAGTTATGGATTTGTTACTTGTGGTCCAAACGAAGCTTTAGTCGTTTCAGGTAATCATAGACAAAATTTAATCTATTTATTAAAAAACTTGTTATGAGTTTTCATCACGAGTTACATCAATAATTTCCATTAAGTTAATTGAAAAGATGAATTGAAATACATTGAATAATTGAACTAAATTTAATCAATTTTAATTTGAAAACATTTTTATATATTTTTTAATATGGCATAAAAATGTTTGTTTTTATTTAAGTTCAATTAATATTAAATTATTGGAAATGAAAATAAATGCAGTAATTAAATTAATTCATTTTAAGGATGCTGCTACAGCAAACCACTTTTGGTCCCTGGTGGGAGAGTATTTGTATGGCCCCTTGTTCAACAAGTTCAAAAGTATGTATTTTATTTTTAAAACTCAAATTTTATGTGTTAACACTTCTATTATTTTAAATAATACCGTATAAAAATAATTAACCAGTTAGCTGTTGCGAACTCTGAAAAGTTTGTACCTAAATTGTGTCCATGACATGACATATTTGTCAATTACAGCTAACTGATTAAATATAAATTAATTAACGCAATATTTAATAACGAATACAATATATTCATTATTTTTACAGAATATCTTTAAATACAATGACTTTACAAGTTGAAAGTCCTACTGTTTATACGTCACAAGGAGTGCCGATATCTGTCACAGGAATTGCACAGGTATCTATAATTAAATCATTTAATTTAACATTGTAATCTCATACGTGAATTTGTTTATATTATAATTATAAATAATTACGTAAAAATTTGGAACATTTTTAACTTTATTTTTACTGATTTAATTTAATATAACAGGTAAAAATCCAAGGACAAAATGAAGAGATGCTATCTACTGCGTGCGAACAATTTCTTGGTAAAAATGAAGAAGAAATTCATAATATTGCGTTAGTTACTTTAGAAGGACATCAACGTGCAATAATGGGCAGTATGACTGTAGAAGTATGTGAAATTAATTCAATTTTAAGTATTAAAAATTATAAAAATAGACATATAAAACAAATTTAAATAAATATTATTTCTAGGAAATTTACAAGGACCGTAAAAAATTTAGCAAAGAAGTATTCGAAGTTGCAAGTAGTGATTTAGTCAATATGGGCATTACTGTCGTATCCTATACACTGAAGGATATTCGAGATGAAGAAGTAAGTTTGCTTGTTTTAATTGTAATATATTAAATAGGTATATAACAAAAATCTGAAGAACTATTTAAAAACAGGAATAAAATTAAAGATTTTAATCATAACAACATTACACACATTTAAACTTTTTGCAATGCTAAAAGAACAAAACAAAAAGTCCCCCTTAAAAGATTTAATATGACTCTATTAGTAATTGCTATTAATAAGAGTTTACTGTAGTACTTCATTATATATTGCAAATATTGAATAAATTTTTGTTTTGCTACTTGCAGGGGGCAAAGGTATGTTCAATTTTGTTTTATCGCTATTTGTAATACAAGCACTTGGCTATATCTTCTCTGATGAATAGCACAAAATAATAAGACATCGGTCAAATGCAGTCTATGGTGTATTTAGAATGCTTGCTTTAATTATGCACAACTATTCTGTGCACATATGCTCAAACTTATTTTGTGATTAAACTCTTATAATTAATGTATGCATTTACTTTCTTGGGGCTTAATCCGGACTAAGCTAAAATCGTTATATTTGCCTTTAATTGTAAATGTAGATACATCTTTTAATATAATATTAAATGCGATCTAATTGTTTTTAGGGATACTTGAAAGCTCTTGGTATGGCAAGAACAGCCGAAGTTAAAAGAGATGCAAGGATTGGCGAAGCGGAAGCTCGCAGAGATGCTCAAATCAGAGAAGCAATTGCTGAGGAACAACGTATGGCTGCCCGTTTCTTGAATGATACCGAAATTGCCAAAGCGCAACGAGATTTTGAATTGAAAAAAGCTGCATATGATGTTGAAGTACAAACAAAAGTAAGATTTTGTCTTAAAATATTTAGAAATTTGTATTCATATCAACTACTATTATTTATAATTAAATTACTGATTGTGATTTAGAAAGCTGAAGCTGAAATGGCATTTGAATTGCAAGCAGCTAAAACAAAACAAAGAATTATGGAAGAACAAATGCAAGTAAAAGTAGTTGAACGTGGACAAGAAATAGCAGTACAAGAACAAGAAATGATGAGACGTGAAAAAGAGTTAGATGCCACTGTAAAGCGTCCAGCAGAAGCCGAAAAATACAGGTAAATTGATGTTAATTAAAAAAAATCAAATATACTACATTTTAAGCTTGCATATATAAGTACTATCTATCGTGAAATATATTTTTGCAGATTGGAAAAAATGGCAGAAGCAAACAAATTACGCCTTATGATGGAAGCTGAAGCAGAAGCGGAAGCTATTAAAATTCGTGGAGAAGCAGAGGCTTTTGCTATCGAAGCTAAGGCTAAAGCAGAAGCAGAACAAATGGAAAAGAAGGCTGCAGCATGGAATGAATACAAGAGTGCAGCTATGATAGACATGATGTTGGACACACTTCCAAAAGTATTGTTTTTTTTCACTCTCTATTAACTATATTATTTATTTGTTAAATAGTATATTACTATACTAACTATATGCTTATTATCAGGTGGCCGCTGAGGTAGCTGCTCCTCTTTCACAAGCGAAGAAGATAACAATGGTATCCAGTGGTAATGGAGCTGTTGGAGCTGAAAAATTAACAGAGGAAGTATTTAATATCGTTACTCGTGTTCCGGATCTTGTCAAGAACTTAACAGGCGTGGATATTACAAAGGTATTATCTTAAATACAATATTTCATTTATATAGTAATTAAAATATATCAAACTTAGATATTAAAAATGTATAAATCGTATTTTTCAGTCAGTACACGCAGCATAAGCAAAGGTAAAATAACCAACAATGTTTTCGGGAGTAACGTGCCAAAAATTACTTTCTTAAATAATTCTAAGAAGTATACATAATTATACCGTTGATGTGTTTATCTCTTGTAAAAGAGAAGTTATGCACATATTTCGATCTTTAAATTTCTATTATTTAAAGATTTCGATATTTATTACCAATAATTATTACCAAAACAAACACTTCCAATATTTTGTCAATTTTTTATATTTAAATATGTAAAGTAACACAAAATAGAAAATTGATATATCGAATCCTAATTACAATTTTCATTCCATGTAATTAGATTAATTGTAGGAAATATTTTATGTATGTATATGTGTTCTATAATAATTTGCGCACAATATTTTATTTTATTGAAAAATCATGCTTTAAGTAGTTTTGCAGGAATGTATTATTTTGTTATTATATGTTATTTTACATATTATATTTATTTTTTCTTTTCACATATTAAAAGAAAAAATATCTTTAGAATCTCAATTAATTATAATGCTTATTTTATGCATCAACGATTTTATACCACTGTGTGCCGAATACTATTCTTGCTGTAATCTTACACTGCATATGTATATCCGCTACATACTCTATATCTCTTTACTCTAAAATATACATAATTTAAAAATGCGTTAACGTATTCCTGTAGAACGGAATGATGTTACTTAACTAATCTAATCTAAATATGTAGAGATTCAACGATATATACTATAAATTAATATATTTTTCCGGATTATTAATATACATAAATAAATCATATGACCACTTCATAAAAGAAGAATTAATTATAGTTTATATTGTACGATCAACAATTTTAATCTTTAGATTTGTATAATCGTTGTAATTTATTAAATAAATTTTATGTAAACAAAATAATATTTAAAAGAATTTACTTATTGTCTAACCCTTTTTTATTTATCATACATTATATTGATCTCATTAAACAAAAGACTGTGGAGAGCCTCATATCAAAACATTGCAATTTTAGAGAAATTATTTAACTCTATCAAATATATTACACGTTAAACGAAGCAATGACTATTTAAGAAATTTCATAAAATTTTAAGTACGTTCAAATTAAACTATCTCGCACTATAACTCGCATAAGATAACTTTATGTAAATATCTTTGGTATTATATTAATAAAAAAGGGTTATTATTTTTATAGAATATACCATATGGAAGCACATAAATCATTTTTGTTAGATTTTTTGGCAGGTGGTATATCTGCAGCAATTTCGAAAACCTCAGTAGCACCTATAGAACGCGTAAAATTATTACTTCAGGTGCAACATACATCCAAACAAATATCACCTGAGCAACGATATAAAGGTATTTAAATTTTTATTTTATTTCAATGATAAATAATTACATTGAGAAATACTTGTCAAAAATCTAATTATAATTTGTTATTACAAAGAATTTAATCATTATTTTAGGTATGCTCGATGTATTCATACGTGTACCAAAAGAAACTGGTTTTCTTAGTTTATGGAGAGGTAATCTAGCTAACGTTATACGCTATTTTCCTACACAAGCTTTAAATTTTGCTTTTAAAGACAAATTTAAAACTATATTTTTGGGAGGCGTACCAAAGGAAGCATTCTGGAGAAATTTCATTGGAAATTTAGCTTCCGGTGGTGCTGCCGGTGCAACATCATTATTATTTGTATATCCTCTTGATTTTGCTCGCACCAGGTATTATAAATACAATATAATAATACTACAAAGTTTATAGAAACAAATATTATTACTAACAATTATGCTATAGATTAGCTGCAGATGTTGGAAAAGGTGCTCAAAGAGAATTTAGTGGAATGGGAGATTGTTTAGTAAAAGTTTTTAAAACAGACGGTTTGTTTGGTTTATATCGAGGATTCAATGTGAGTGTCCAGGGAATTATTATATATCGTGCAGCATACTTTGGACTTTATGATACAGCTCAAGGCTTTTTTTCTGATCCAAAAGCTACTCCATTATATGTTAACTTTCTTATTGCACAAGTAAATTTTTATATCGTCTTATTAATAATAATGTTTTCCTAGTTGTGCAATTAAAAAATTTACAAGAGATATATAACTCTTATGAATTTTTTAGGCTGTAACATCGCTGTCAGGACTTTTATCCTATCCTTTAGATACAGTCAGAAGAAGAATGATGATGCAATCAGGACGTAGTAAAGAAGAAGTGATGTATAAAAATACTTTAGATTGTTGGATTAAAATATTACGCAATGAAGGACCATCAGCTTTCTACAAGGGAGCATTTTCCAATATCCTTCGAGGGACAGGTGCTGCTCTCGTTTTAACGATATATGCTCCTATTAAAACTCGTATTGCTAACATAATATTTAAAGATGATACTTCAACATAGCAATTTATTTTTTGTATATTTATAAATTCAATAAAAATATTCTTTCTTCTGTTCTTTTTACATAAAATATATTTTGTAATCTAAACCGTTTAAATAATTAATTAATTAATACAGATCTTGTTTTCTTAACGCATTTGTAGATAATTTTCTATGCTGATATTTATTTTCCTACCATGCAAATGTTTTATATTAAAAATAAAATTTAAATTAAATTTCTATCTAGCGTGTTGTATTTTCATAACGATTTGAATCTTAATTTGACGATTGATCTTCATATATATATATATATATTACGTTATATATTATAATATTTTTGTTCAGTTAGAATAAAATAGAAGAAATAAAAATATTAATAGTATTATTTTTATAATAATACTTTTAATTTATATATATTTAAAACACAGTAGCAGCACTCTAGGCAGTTTTTAGATATACTTGCTGCATTAAAAACCAGTTAGATTGCAAAGATTATCTGCCATACTTCTATTTAGAGATGTGTAATACATTATTCATGATATTTGGTATTCTGTCATAATCAACTGAATATTTTTAATTAAGCATAGTATGTCGGTCATAAATATTACGTCGCTGTTCTCGAACTTGTCTCTTCCATTTATCTTGTTGGTGCCCTACACGATTTAAAACGTTTCCTCTTTCTCCCATTGGATGAGAAGATCCAGGTGCTACTGATGCATCATCCTATTATAGAAAATAGAATTATACTAATCCTTTTACACTTCATATATTACTTCACATATGCATAAATTAATAATTTCAAATGTAACATAGATGCTCGAAAATGTAATATACAGGTTTTACCTCTTCGTTATTGTGTTCGTGATAGCCAATATTAGTTGTGTTTTTATGAATCCTTTTATTCAATAATGGATCCAAACAAATTAAGAATAACATATAAATTACTAACAATGATATTACCCAAATAACAATTATTACCACAATCTGTAACATAAAGTATAATTCTTTTTAAAAAATTTATAATATTTTTGGTATATAAAATATATAAATAGGTTTTATAATAATGTATTTAAAAATATTTAAAAAGAATCATACTTTAATAATAGTTGTGTTTCTATTTTCATATTTGCAATCGCATCTAGGACAAAATATTTCTTCTTTAGTCTTTATTTGATCTCCAAGTTTTGGTAAAACAACATCTTCACATTTACTGGAACAGATAAAATTTTTACTGGAATTGTTGCGAAGATTATGAACATTACTTTCAATTTACTTTTGTGATAACATCTATCTAGTATTCTTTACTTTTTATGCATTTAAAAATAACATTTTAAGAGTAATGTTTTAAAGCAATTAATTACAATTAAAGTAATCATCTTAAAGGATAATATTATTGCATATGCACATTGAAAAATTCTAATTAGTAATAGTAATAATGATGCATCTTTTCAAATGATATTAACATTGTTATACCTATACCGATTTATAATAAATTATAGTAATATATTATCGCAATCAAATGAAATAAATAAGAAAATAAAATTTAACATACGTATATGTGTATACACTTGTTGACTAAAATATGCAAAACATATGCAATACATAAAATAATTTTTACTTATTAAAATATGCTTCTGCATAAATATCTGCAATAAAGTGATTCCTTTACACAATACTAACTAATATGAAATGCAAGATCCATAGATTTATAATTTTAATCGCTGTATAGATATAACTTGTAAATAAATTGTAAAATATATAAGCGGTAAATTAAAATATATAATTTATAATAAAAATGGATATTACCATTGTGATGGTGGGACATTAATGATAACAATTAATCGATCTAGCGAAGGCTGTGTGGTATTTATCACAGAGGAAAGACTTGGACAAATACATTTACATCTTTTATCATCGTACTGTGCCTGTAATTATATAATTACTTAATCAAATGTTTGATTACGCCTATAATTATAATATTATATATTCATAATCTATATATTTAAACGTAATAAGATCAAACAATAATTGTTAAAATTTCTCATCTTCTTTTCTATATGGATTATGAATACAAACACATTATTTTGTCTTATATGAATGATTCTAACCTCACATTTTGACAGAAACACTAAAATAATTGTCGCTGGAATTAATGTGTACTTCCACATTGTACACTGTAGACGCTCATTGAGCACAACTGTTTATAAATATTATTTATATATTATATTATTCTTACTTTTTTAAATAAAATCGATCTTAAAAGTAATCTCTAAGAATGTTAAACCTTACTGTCAAACGTTAATCAGTGCTGTCAAATAAAGAAACACAAATTTCATTACCAACATGAAAACTTTTAAATATATATATGCATACATACATCACGTCTAGCAAAATTTATATAAATTTATTGATTAATTTTGATGTTTTGGACCAATTATAGTTTAATGATTAAATGAATTTTAAATAAAATTATTTTTTTTCTATCATTTTTACTCTCTCTTTAACTCCTCTACATCCAAATACTTAACCATGTCCATCGTTCCTCGACTGTAATGATTGTTTACAAGAACTAATTTTTTCAATAAGGCAAAACTCTGTATATATATATATATATATATACATAAATATAGTATTAATTAAAATTCTTTTTAGAGAATTATTTTAAAACATAAATTTATAAAAGGATGTGCTTACATTTTTATGTATTATAGAAATAATTAAGATTATTATAAGGTTTATTACATTTTGATTAAAATAGATCAACATTCTTAGAGATAATATAATACATTAACTTATATCAACATCGTACATTATTTGATACTCTGTGTAAATAACTTACTTTCATGCTTTACCAGGAATGAATAGAAATTTTGAGTTCATTTACATAGTGCAATATAATAATAAGCAATCTATACAAATTCATTCGATCATTACACATAAACATATTGTATGGTGTTTCGTGTGATTATTTTATAATAAGCTTGTATATTTTTAAATATATATATTATTAAAATTATATAAACGATTACCATGAATATATACTTAATATTTATATTATTTTACATACACACACGTACGTATGTATACATAAAACTTTAATATATAATAATACAATATATTAAGTAATTAAAGATATAAATATATTGGACAATCATAGACATACCATTAGTCTTATACACAAATAATATCTGATGCAAATTATCATCTCAAATAAAAATAAATCGTAATTTACTTATATATTTCTTTTTCGGAAAAACACTTCACTTGCTTAGTAATGTTAAAGTGTTTAACTTCCGTAAGATATTCTAACAACATTTTTAATGTCGTAATTTATAATTACAGGACGCCTATTCATCATCTTGTTACTAATATCAAATTTAAATTCATTAATCAACAGGTTTAAGAACTTCGCCAAACTATAATTCCAATCAAAATGGACAATAATATTACTCCAATTATGACAAGAATACATTTTTTTTTACGCAACTTATTTTGATAAACACTTGCTTGCCTTACGTGAGAAGTTGCTTCATTGACCGATACTTCTGTTCTTTCCACTGAAGCTTCTATAGAATCAACAACTTCCCCTTGATCATACACTAAAGCACCAAGATCTTTAAAAATTTGATTAATATCGCTGATATTACTCTAAAAGAGAAAAGCATTTTTTACTCATTGTTTTAATAATTCTTTAATGAATATTTAAATATATATTCTTACCTCTAATTGTCTTATACTTGCTTCTTGTTCTTCTAACATTCGTAAATTTTGTTCTTCTTTTAATTGCTGCTGTTGTATTTGTTTCTGCGTTCTGCTATCTTGCAATTCGATTAAAGTTTCCTGTTTCTTTTCTCCAAATGGAGCAATACCCGCACTAGCTTTAGCTTTTCGAACCATTTCTTTTTCTTTTGTGGCAGCGAGTCTTTGTACAGCCTGAAAAGCATATTTATTAACGTAAACTGTATAGTGTTAAAAAAAATTATACATATATATGGATTATTACTTGGAAAGAATTTAACGCTGTTGTAAATTCATCCTGTAGCCGTTCACGTTGCATTTTACGTTGCCTTTGTTCTCCCGGGCTACTTGAGCCCGAGTTATTAGCTAGATCACGTAAATGACCACTAGTATCTTTTGCAAGTTGTTGTGTATAATGTTGTATTTGATGCCTAAAAGGAAATATTTGATACATTATTAATAAAATTAAACAATAATAAATGTTAGATGTTAATTCAATATAAATTTTCACCGTACAATTTGTTTCTAAGTTCTTGTGAATCTGTAGAACTACCCAATTGATTAACCATTTTTTGCATTGAAGATACTAAAATCAAAGGTATATATTACATTATTGTATTAAGGTAATGTTTTTATTATACTTTGATTACTTACCATTTTGTGATATCTTCAATATAGAGGTACCTATAGTTTGAGATAACCTGCTAAAATCTTGTTCCCTGGCAGGGCCACCGTTATGGTAAGAAGAAAATCCAATATCCATTTTGATTTGCTTTATGTATAGTAAAATAAAGATTAAATTATATATGCTTGTACAATATATCAAAAAGATCTTATTTTAATGAAGATTACATATTCAACTTTTACATGAGTTACTTATTTGCCAAATCGACTAACTATACAAAACAAAAAGTATTGCATACATTGTCGTATCATTTATTATTCAATGGTCATCAAAATAGCTTTTAATTAATAGCGTTAAGCCTAATCATTAAATATATTTCTTTTAAACATAAAAAGTTGAGCATCAATTAAGGGCTTCGATAGCAAATTTAATAAAAATTGTTGAACTAGAGTTAATCGCTTTGACCAGTGAGCACACACAGTTCATATATATATATATTATATATTAATTAATTATATTTAATACATTTACATGTGTATTATAATTTGTCAATGAATATTATAAAAATTATGTCAAAGTAAGCTGTTTAAATGAAATGTAACTTACGTGAAATAAATTATTCTATGATATATTTGTTTTATTTTATACCATTTAATTTTAAAACAATGAAGAATGTTGATTGTTTCTATAAACAATTAATATATATATATATAATGATTAATAAATATGATTAATAGATATGATTAAAAATCTTGAACAAATCAACAATAAACTGATAGTCAGATTACAAAAATGTCAAAAAGAACCACCGCCCGTTAACGATATTTCTCTTGTCAACAAATTAATAGGTCTACTGTATACCATATGCAGTGACTCAGAAGTATCCATTTCATAAGTATGAAAGGATGTTAATCGAATCAAACCTGCTATTTTCACAAACCTTTATGTCATTTTCTCAAGTTCACTATGGGAAGCTCTAAAACTTCTCACAAATCGATAAAAGCCTATCACAAATACTAAATAAATATAATCACTACACGTCATCCATAACAAATAAATACGTGAACATTTAAAGTCCAATTGTTCTCTTTCTTTCAATACAAAACAAAGTAAAAATATCTAAAGATAAAAAAATTAAAATTTGTTAAAATATCAATTGTCATTAAGTCGTCGACATACCGTTGAGTAGTAATCACTATTGCAGGATAATATTAATAAGTTTGTTGATTTTAAGGTTATTCACGTCTTTTTTAACTATTTTATTAGAATAGCAAACAGAACTTATTTGTCACTGATGTAGATATGTTACAATTTAGGCATCTTTGATATTTTTCACTTTAAGACTGATTTTACCGACAAAATGTATAGAATAAGACTGAATTATCGACTGGAAACAATTCTTATCAAAATACATCAGCGCTCTCTATGCACAAGTGAAACTAACACAATTTCCACTATAATATATAAAAATTACTATCATCCAGTAAATTATTTATAATCGAATCATTTTTTCATTTTCATATAAAAAGATATATATTATAAATTATTATTATTCATATAAAAGTTTAGATTTTATTTTTTAAAAACTTTTACTATTTTTATCCAATCCAGATGAGATTTTTTATAATTGCACTTAATGATCCAATGAAAAGTTCAAGATATCTAAGTTGTGGAAATAATAGTCACAAACTAGGCTATAAAAGAGAACTACTTTTAATTTATTAGAACAATACAAAGCTGTGACCTATTTGAAAGAATTGGAATAGCAATAAAGATTTTTTTATCGCAGTGAATTTAAATAGTCCCGCGGTGAATTTAAAGTTCTACGGCGCATGCGTACTGTGTTATCTTCAAAATATTACGCGGGCTAATGAATAAATTAATTTCTTCTGAATCTTTTTTAAAAATTGCCAAGTATATCTTTTATATATGTATTTGATACATATAAAGATGAGAAAGTATATACGTGTCGATACAGCAATTAATTCATATACACGTTGTAACATAATAATGCAATACATATTCTACAAAATGTGTACGGAAAAGATATGTATGGAAAAAGTGGTTAAAATCAAATCGGATTAATATCTTAATTTTTAATTAATTAAAATTAAGCTCCTGGAATTCGCCGAGGGATATAAACATAGACTCGTTGAACTTTAGCTTCCTCTATGCCCGTCTCTCTTTTTCTTTTTCTTTCTTTAGGACCTACATATGTATTAAAATTAATTCTTCTCCGAAATAAAATAAAATGAAAATTACATTAAAAAAATTCTTGTTTGTGCGGTGTGTGGTATCTGTAAATGTATAAAAAGTATTAAAAAACATTATAAGGTAATTAGTTGCTGTATATGGAATGGACAAAAGGAACCAAGGAAAGGAATAAAAGAATATGGTATTAATTAGGAAGTTAAAAGAAACTAATTACAATTATAATGCTTATTGGTAAGCGGTCTTTGCTAGATTTTACTTGTAATGTAATGTATAGCATATAAAATATGATAAACATTACACGGAAAGTAATATCCATTGCCCGGGTCTAACCACGAGGAGGTAACCGCTTCCGAAGACCCACGAGGGATGTGCATCCTGAAGATGTCCATATCCAAAAAAAATTAAACGAAAGAAAATTATTTAACTGAGAACGTTTTTTAAGAAATCTAACTCTTAGGCCCCACCCCAAGAGTTTCACCTATTCGCAAGTAATACGTTTACGTGTCGAAGTCTAACAAGGAACTGATTCAAAACAATATAAATTTTATGTTTATATATTGGCTCAGTAACGAAATAAAGTTTTAAAAAAGTCATCTAAAAACATAAAAGACAAATATATCAAAATTATTTTTTATTAAAAATACGTTAATAGGTAATGTAATATTTCAACCAATATATATGTTAAAACACACTGAAATATAAAAAGAGTGTATTAGAGAATTAAAATAAATGTTAATTATTTGTTAAAAATGTCTATTGTTGTTAAAAAGCTAGGAGTATATGTTCTGTGATCCGTCTTCCTCGAAATGCACCTTGAGACTGGCACTTTATCTTCTATGAAAATTCTTTTATTAAAAGTTGTTTATATGACTTTCCGAACGTTGCGCATATGTAGAAAGGGAATAATCAATAAATGAATAAAATTTTAGATTATAGCATTCTCATTTTAGTATTTTTTTAATTTTTACGTAATTGTTTAAACTAATGTGCATTTGTTGTAACGTTCCTATCAGTGGTGACTTTGGAGGGGGAAAATTACATCGAAAAGAATATCAAATCGAAATAATTTAATATTAGAAGTACGTAAAAAAGACTGTAATGTTCAAATCAGTACATATATGTAAAAAACACCCTGAAATATAAAAAGAATGTATTAGAGAATTAAAATAATTGTTAATTAATCGATAAAAATGTCTATTGTTGTTAAAAAGCTGGGAGTATATGTTCTGTGAACCGTCTTCCTCGAAATGCATCTTGAGACTGGCACGTTATCCTCTGTGAAAGTACTTTTATTAAATATTGTTTATATGCTTTTTCGAACGTTGCGCATGTTTAGAAAGGGAATAATACATTAAATTGCATTGAAAAATGCAAACTATGACGTCCGGTGACTCCACGTTGCTGTCATGGGAAAACTATCGGGTAAGAAGTGCCGGTGGCTTCACATTAGTGCCATGCAAATTTTACTTTACTTCAGGTGCATATAGATAAAATATGCCAAAGGGGGAATATTTTTTACAAATAATTTTTAACATATTAGAGATTTATAAAAGAGATTTTGTCACCAACGAAATGTATTTTGAAAGAGCTGTAAGTCTAATACATTATTGAATTATTAAAATATTTTTATGGATTTTTAATTACGGATATATACATGGTGTCCCATTTAAATCGACAACATAGACAAAAAATATCACCATAAATAATATTTCCAACTTTATTCGTATTTTATCAAAGACTATAAAACGTCTGACATATGATACGTAAGCGCAATTAAGGAATAGGAAAAAAAAAAAAAAAGAATTGATTAATGAAGCATCGAGTGAATATTAAATATCATCTTTATGTTTTTCGCTTACGTCATTATAATCGAGTACCTTTCCCATAAAAGCAACTGAATAATTTCCTTTACCGGGATCACCGAAAACAACAGTCTCGTTAACGATCCAACGACTATAACGTATTTCGGATAAAATAGAAAAACCGATTTTTTCGGCTAAAGATTGATTATGACCGGATGTAAAAACACCACCTACTGCTGGCAGTTTCATCGTTCTTGCCGATTGTATGAAAGCATGCAATAATGCGGATTCGACGCCTTTATTTTGATAAGTTGGATGAACGCAAAGAATATAAATGCGTAAGTAAAGATCGTGTCCAAATTGAACGTAAGCTTGGGACTGAACGGTAACTTCGTTAACTAATTGCTTTATTTGTTTCAATGATTTTCCTTCGATTATCTAAAATAAAATCAAATAAACAAGCATGTAATTCAACTTTAATGATATATACTTTCGAAGAAGATACCTTCGATGAACAAAATTTACTTGATTACGACTAAAAGTATTCATCTTTTCCGAATCACTGTTAATTCTTGTAACAGCAACTCCAACAACTCGTCCAGAAGTTCCACTGAGTGCCACCAAACTTAACGTATCTTTCATCCACGTTTTTATTAAATTTAAATAACAATTGACCGATAATTTATCCTTCAGAAATGATATTGCTTTGCACATTGGTTCATCGTTAAAGTAATGATGCTGTGTGTCGGTTTATGAAAATTAAATAATACTTAAAATTATTGAATTCAATTTAAAAAACGAATCAACTAAACTTTTATCAAACGACATGCTTCGTCATACAAAGACTCATCCAGGTCTTGTATTTTACAATAAATTGAGGAATCCCATTCGAGCGGTGCATACATTCTTGCTTCCATTTCAAGTAATTTGTCATCTTTATCATTCTTGTCCATTACTGATGAAGAACTATTTCTATAAACACACGGTTATTAATTTATTTGATTTTCTTATCGAATATGATATTCCAATTCATTATGTAATGATTTCATAATCGAATCGAATCGATTCATTAATCGAATACATCGAATCGTACAATTTTAACACAAGCCTAAATTAATATATATATTGAAGTATTAATAATAATAAAAAAATTGTTACAAAATGTTACAAAATGGAGACAGTACGATGACATTTAAATTACTTTCACGAAGAAGAACAACCTATTTCAATTTATCCGACATTATTTCAGTAAATAATTTAAATCCAATTCGTAAAACAAGGGAAAATGTAAATGATGCGATAGTTTTGCAAAGAATGTCTAATGGTTATCGAATCGTGAGCCTCGAAGAGGATCAATTTATGGAAGCATTGAATTTTATTCGAGTACACTCGCAAGAATAAAATTTCATCACGTATTAAAATATTACATTCATTGGAATTTCATTTAATTTTATTTTTATTTAGAACACACACAAAATATATATTTATGAATTTGATTCGTTGAAGTTGATCTGTTTTTTTTTCGAGATTTATTTAAATTTAGGGTTTCAATAATTTTGATCATGTTAATGCAATGCGTTCAACGATACAGGATGGTTTCTTCGAAGAGGAACCAATGTGCGAAGCTACAGATTTGTTGAATGATATGAAATCGTTAAAAACTTCGCTTAAAATAATATATAAAAAATTGTTGGACACGCAAAGTTGTTGTGCAGTTAAAGAAGGTGAAAATAAGATCGTAGGAGTTGCAATTGCTTCGATAAATTTGATGGGAGATCACGTACGATCGGAAACACGAGTAAAAGTAGATCTTTTCTTTTTTTTCCCCCCATAACACACAATTTATGTTATAATATTATTTTATTTATATTGTTATATTTGGAATGTTGTTATTTAAAAAAAAAAAGAAAATAGAATACAAACGTACAAACATAATTTGTTGAATGAGCATAATAAAATTGCTGCATTAAAATTGTTTGCATTTTTACACAATAAACGCAATACCAAATATACCATAAAATTAAGTTATATTTTTTTGTTAATCGTCAAAATATGCGTTGCGAAATTATTTCAATTATGCATTAATTGTTTATTAGAAGATCTTATTAATTTGATCCTATTTTCAATTTATATCTTTCTATTATTTTTTATCTTTGCAGCCACATCAGGGTGATGCGATTTTCAATATAATGAGCATAAAAAGTTGTGTTTTTTCAAAAGCACGTCCTTATGAACGATTAGAAATCGAGAAATTTTTTCGCATACATTTGTTATACGTAAACAAGAATAATCGAAAAAGAGGTATTGGAACTGCATTAACAAGTTGTTGCATCGATCTAGCAAGAAATCTGTTAGCACCAGCCTGCATAGGAGGATTTAGTTCAACGATAACTCAAATTATTGGTAAATAATTATCAATGGATTTTTCATATATTTTTACATTAATTTTAATATGTTTCATTTTTTGTAATATTACACGTATAAAGCACGTAAATTAGGATTTACATTACTAGCCGAAGTAAAATATAAAGATTTTCAAATATTCAACGACGAATCGGAATCATTCGAAATTCCATTCAAAAATGTGATCAATGGAAATAATTCCTTGGCTTGTATGGCTTTACCCATCAAATTATCTACACTCCCGTTACGACAATTAACGCCCGAAATTTTCAATAACAAAGAACAAACTTCTCGCATCAAATCTAAACGAAAATAATTGGATTTTATGTAAGAATAATGTTTATCAATTATATACTCCCCACAATTATTCAACATTCTATCATCTTATATTTTAAATTATTTGATACAATTTTTCTTTTACGACGAATCAAACAAAAGGTTTTTAGTTTTACAGGATTGCAAGCTCGGTCAAGTGCACGCGTACCACCCACCACCTGACCAATTTTCTAATTTACCTTTCGTAAAAAAACACGATATCTTATTTTATTAATATATTTATCCTACGTTACACATATACCCCGGATAGAATTTTTCTCGTAGATAAAATCGCATAGAGAGATCCTTATTTATAATAATTAACTTAATTACTTCAGTCATTTTAATTTTTTCATATGCAAGCGTTTTTTTATCAACGTTTGTAAACCATTCAAAAATACAGTCTCGTGTAAACATTATTTTTCGCATTAAATACGAAAATACACGATCATAAACGATAGATACTTTTTCTTATAATTCTTCTTTTATAGTAAAATGCATCTCGTTCGTGTTATTTTGATTAATACAGGCCGGCAAATTATCCCAAAATTCTCTTCTTTTAGGATGAAGATCGCGAGACATTGATAACTTCGTATTATTTATATAATAATATTCCAATGCCTCTGTTCTCACCGGTTTCCATTTTTCTGTTATGATATTTGTTATTTCCGGTGTTGGGTTTCTAAGAAAAAAAAAAAAAAGAAAAAGAAAAAAATAATATCTAATATATAAAATAATAAATAATAATAATAATAATAATAATTACCCAGTCTTAGCGAAATTAAACCACAGCGATGTCATAGTGTCAATCATTTTTTGATCCTCTTTACTCGGAGAAATTTCCTTAAATAATTGTTCACCAACCGGAAAGAGATAATGCAAATCATCGGCATGAGTAACACCATAATCTGCGCTATCATCACCGAATATTTTGCTAAACGAGACACTACCTTTGTATGCAAAGTAATAAAAATAAATAGGAGACGATTGGGTTTTAAAGTAATCACGAATTGCAGTACGTGCACCATGGTTGAACCAAGCATCGCTGTACATCTGAATCAAACAAAAAAGAAAAAAAAAAAACAATATATTAATATCTTATTCAAATTTATATTATCGTAATTTTTAATTATTTTGATACAAATTTTTTCTACGAGAATTTAAAAAGATTTAAGATCCAAACACATTCTAGATTTATATTATATATTAGGCAATTCTTATATATATAATTTGTGCAACAAAAATTTCGATATTGAAAAAATATGAGATCTAATAATACGTTTTAATAATTAATCATGATATAACAAATCGTACAATAAATATAATAAAAAGAAAAAAAGAAAATGTGATTACTGTAATACGTTTAACGATAAACGCGGCCCTGAAATCGGATTTGTAATACGTATTACGCAGATAATATTTTTTGCATCTTTTCCTTTATATATATGCTAGTTTTGTATAATATTATTCTAAGAAAACATGAAAATTATCCATGATAAGGAAAAATTGAAAAATATCGGAAAATTTATGACGCAGCAATATTGCATCTTCGCGATGCATTTTAATTAACATACTAGTTATCATTTTGAATTATCCCAAGGCACCACTATAATCTCTTTTCAAACTTATAATAGTAAAAAAATTAAATTACTTTCCTCTTCCAATATAATTATAGTTATTCGATCTTGTAATTATCACTTATTATTTTTCTAAACGTCAACATATTAAACGTTTTCACGATTTTATTAAATTTAAGATAACTATATTCGATAAACGATTTATTCATGCTATCAAATTAAGTATACTTAATAATTGCGTATACTATAAGTATCAAACAATTATAGAACGTGCACTTTTCGTTTTATCATCATGTTTCTTGAGTTCTTACTTTTTTTTTCTTTTTTTTTTTTTTTTTAATATATGTGCATATACATTTTTTTGTTAATTCTTTAATCATTTGATTCTAATTATCGATCAAGATTTTTACGATTCGGTTTTATTGTTTTTAATGGAATTGTTTTCTTTTTCAAACGAGATAAAATTAAAGATATAAATGTATCAGATATGAATTATTACTTACATCAACAACTTGCATGCGAGTAGAATTATCTATAGGATTTCCTTGGAAATAAAATTCCCGTATCGCTAGACTTATTTTATCGTGTAGATAATCGGGACAGGTTTCACCATGCAGCAAGGTAACCGGTGCAATGTTCGCAAATTCATCGTTCATTCTTTTTATCAGTTCGCCTTTGGACTTGGTATACAGTGCTGAAATCAATGAATTATTTTATGCTTCGATAAAATCCTTCCGAGAAATCCTTCGCCAATTTTTTCTTTTTCCTTCGCGTACAAGAAAAACTTGGAGAAAAAAAATTTGTAAAAATATTTACGATCTAGTTCACATTTCCAAGGATTTCTAAATTTTCTAAATGTACTCTTTTTAGATATTTTTAAAGAAATCAGGAATAAAAAGTACATATATACTTCCGACATTTTTCTTTTTTCTTTTTTTTTTTTTTACAAAGAAAAACACTTTACTTTTTATTACACTTACACGGTACTTTGAGTGATCCTTCTTCTGAAGTAATACCAGTCATCCATGGAATGTCTGTCATTTCTCCAAGTTTTGTTATAATTGCAGGATCTTTAGTAATGAATGCATTTGGATGATCTGGTTCGATTACTGGTCTGAATGGTATCATTGGACAATAACCAAATTTCTGGAAAATTTTTTTAATAAATTTTTACCTAGGTATATATATA